AAAAAAAAAAAATGTTCAGATATTTTTATAACACTTATGAGTACTTTAAAATCAATAATGAAATTATAAAATTAATTCAAACACACAGACTAGACATACATAGGAGCCCACACTAAGATTAAACACATTAACATTTACCAGGTTTGCACCAGGTCTCTTTTACTAATTTTCTATTTTGAAAACACTCATGTATATGGGAAAAAGTTGTTCAGCGAAACCTAGTATAGTATATGCTCCAGCTGAGATTCAACAACTCATCACCACTTGCATTATCACTGACTATATGTACCCCTTTCTTTGACACTTGAAAGTAAGTTTGTCAGGTGCAGTGGCTCACACTTGTAATTCTGGCACTTTGGGAGGCCAAAGCTGGTGGATTGCTTAGGCTCAGGAGTTCAAGTCCAGCCTGGGCAAAACAGTGAGACTTCACGTCTATTAAAGAAAAAAAAGTAAGCTAGTAAGTGTGCCCTGGGCATCTTTGCCATCAGTATGACCAACATGCTGCTGCCCTGGGCACCCCAGCTGTTAGAGGAGAGCCACGGCTATTTTTAGAAGAGTTTGGTGGTTGGATGAGGGATGGCATAACCAGGAAGGAGTGAGAAACGCAGAGAAAACGTCTTTGCTGGAGAAACAGCTAAAAGCATCTGTCCTCCTGAAGCCCATGTGAGAGTCTTGGCTGGGCCAGAAGGGGCCCAGCAATGCGCTATCTCCTCTCACTCAGTTTTACGTCTGACCTGTACATCTCAAGCATGCTCTTTGCCTTAACATGTCTACTTACTTATTAGGGAAGGGAACAGGTGTGGGTGATTACCACTTTTTAGAATACTTTTTTAAGAGTACATTTTAAAAGAAGGTTTAGATTTCCAAAATAAATTGCAAAGATAGTACAGAGTTCCTGTATAGCTCACATCCAGTTTTACCCTATTATTAACATATTACATTAGTTTGGTTCATTTTTCACAAGTAATACATATTGATAATGACTACTAACTAAAGTGGATATTTTATTTTGGCTACCTTAATTTTTACCTAATGTCCTTTTTCTGTTCTGGGATCCCACCCCCAGGATCCCACATGGTATTTAGTTGTCAGGTCGCCTTAAGCTCTTCTTGGTTGTGACAGTTTCTCCAGGCTTTCATTGTTTTTCATGACCTTGACAGGTTTGAAGAGCACTTGTTAGATATTTGGAAAATGTTCCTCAAATGGGGCTTGTCCAATGTTCTTCTCATGATTAGACCCATGATTATGGGTTTTTGAGAGAAAGACCACAGAGGTAAAGTGTTATTCATAGCATATTAAAGGTGTATACTATCAACATGACTTATCTCTGTTGATGTTGACCTTGATCATCTAGCTGAGGTCATCCTCGTCAGGTTTCTCCCCTTTCCATACTCTAGTATTAGGAAGAGTCACTACACGCATCCTAGACATAAGAAGTAGGGAGTCATGCTCCACCTCCTTCAAGGCAGAATTTCTACATAAGTTACTGGAAATTCTTCTGAACAGGAAATGTCTATTTTCTTCCATTTCTTTATTCAGTATGGTAAGTATCTCCATATATCATATAGGTATGTCTATATTAATATATTTATATGTATATCAGTATGGACTTGCAGATAGATATTTGTTTTGTATTTTGGGTTCTAATATAATAGTACCTTATTTTGCTGCTCAAATTGTTCCAGGTTTGGCCATTGTTCCAGGTTTGGCTGTATGGCTTTCCTTTGTCATACCCCCATCATTGTGGGTTTTTATTTTTTTTTAGCACTTCCTTACTTTGAGGTATCACAAGATGCTTCAGGCGCATCTTGTGTATTTTCTGTGCCAGTCCTAGAATCAGCTATTTCTCCAAGGAACCCTGGTTCCTTCTATTGGAGAATATCAGAAACCAAGATCTGAGTGGAAGGTATCCTCATTGCTACTGGGGCATTGTTGCTTCTAGGCCTTCTCGGCTGAGAGCGAGTAAATATATGTATGTACATTCACCTGCATATATACATATTTCTATAAATATTTCTACACATAGCCATCTGTGTCTATATTAAGTATGAATTTCTAACTCTGATCTATTACCATATGGATCATTCTAGCCTCCTTCCCCTGCTTATCCATAACCCTCTCACTCCACCAGTGAGAAACTTGGCTTCCACCACCCTCAACCATTAGCTTAATTGTTCATTTCCACTATACATATCTAGTGGTTTCAGAATTGATAACCCATACCCCTGCTGGGAATAATTTTATTAACTAGGGTTCAGTGTTTATATACAGTTCCTTTCATCTTTAATCTTACAGACTCTGTTCATTTCCAAAGTTACGTAGGACAGCATCTCTTTCCATCATCCCTTCAGTGAGGTTGTTTCATAAATCTGTAATACAGATAGTTTTGTTATTCTGCAGTCCATTCTGGGATCCCTCAATCTCCTAAGTGTTTTTTTTTAAAAGACTGCATATATTAAGTTTTACTCTTGGTGCCATAAAATTCTATGGGTTTTGACAAATGTGTAGTGTCACGTATCCATCATGATCATCATATAGAATGATTTTACATCCTAAAAATTCCCTGTGCATCATTCAACCTTTTCTCACACCCAAATCCTGACAACCACAGATCTTTTACTGTTTCTACATTTTGCAGAAATGTCATATAATTGGGTGGTAGCATTTTTTTGACTTGTTTCTATCTCTTGGCAATATGCATTTAAGATTAATCCATATTTTTTTGTTGATTGACAGATTATTCCTTCTTATTGCTGAAAACAGTACTTTATTCTATGAATGTACTACCGTTTGTTTATCCAGTCACCTGTTGAGGGCACCTTGGTTGCTTCCAGTTTTTGGCAACTATGAGTAAAGCTGCAATAAACATTTGCATGCAGATTTTTGTGTGGACATAGTTTTCAAATAAGCTGAGTAAATATATAAGAGCATGGTTGCTGGACTGTGTTATGAGATTATGTTTAGCTTTCCATTCAATTTGAAGAATATTTATTTAATTTCTGAATAGGTAATGCACGTACACGGTATCAAATACAAACGTACGCTTTTCTCCTGTTTTATAGTGTTTCCCTCAATTTCCCCTCTCCAGATGCACTGTCTGTTCCATTTTTTGTGATACTTTTAGGTGCTAAAGAAAATTATTGAAAACTCTGAATATAGCAAGAAGATGAGTGCAGGTCCTTTCAGTCATACTGAGGAATTATATAACAAGCTCACCTGAGATTCATTAATTCTCTAGGGCAGTGATTCTCAGAGTGTAGTATGTGGTCCTGGGGGGTCTCCAAGGTAAAAATAACAATACTATGGTGTTATTTGCTTTTTTGCTATGTTGACATTTGCAATGATGGTGCAAAATCAATGGCAGGTAAAACTGTAAGTGTCTTAGTAGGAATCAAGGCAGGGCACTGTCCTAGTTTGCTAGGGCTGCTGTCACAAAGTACCACAGGCTGGGTGGCTTAAACAACACGTTTATTCTCTCACAGTCTTGGAGGCCAGAAATCCAAGACCAAGGTGTTGGTATCTGGTGAGGGCTCTCTTCCTGGCTTGGAGTAATCTCACTGTGTCCTCACATGGCCTTTCTTCTGCGTATGTGCAGAGTGAGATCACTACAGTCTCCTTCTCTTCTTATAAGGATACCAGTTTCATTGGGTTAGGGCCCCATCCTTGTGACCTCATTTAACCTTTAAGTATCTTTTAAAGGCCTTTCTAATCACCAGTGTGACTCCAAATATAGTCCCATTGAGGACTGGGGCTTCAGCATATGAATCTGGCCAGGGGCAGGCACATTCAGTCCACAACAGGCACCAAGCTCTACTAGTATGCACTGCCTTACACTTATAGGTTAAAAATGTTCAGTTTCACTTAAGAATGCTCCTGATAGCATTTAATGATTAATTTTATTAAAAGCTGTTTTGGCCGGGCGCGGTGGCTCAAGCCTGTAATCCCAGCACTGTGGGAGGCCGAGGTGGGTGGATCACGAGGTCAAGAGATCGAGACCATCCTGGTCAACATGGTGAAACCACGTCTCTACTAAAAATACAAAAAATTAGCTGGGCATGGTGGTGC